TCAAATTAAAAAGCTTCTGCATGGCAAAAGAAACTATCAACAAAATGAAAAGGCAACCTACTGAATGGGAGAAATCATATATCTGACAAGGTGTTAATATTCAAATATATAAAGAACTCATACAATGCAAGAGCAAAAAACCAAATAATCCAATTGAAAAACAGGCAAAGGAACTAAATAGACATTTTTCCAAAGAAGACAACAAATGGCCGAGAAGTACATGAAAAGGTGCTCGACATCACTAATTATCAGGGAAATGCAAATCAAAACCACAATGAGCTATGACCTCACACCTGTTAGGATGGCTATTATCAAAAGACAAGAGACAACAAGCGTTGGCAAGGATGTGGAGAAAAGGGAACCCTTGTGCACTGTTGGTGAGAATGTAAAATGGTGAAGCCACTATGGAAAACAGTATGGAGGTTCTTCAAAAGGTTAAAAATGGAACTGCTATATGATCCAGCAATCCTACTTCTGGATATATATATAAAAGAAATGAAAACAGACTTCAAAAAGATATCTACACTCCCATATTCACTGAAGCATTATTCACAATATCCAAGATATGGAAACTACCTAAGTGTGTGTCAATGGATGAAGGGACAAGGAAGATCTGGAATATTATTTAGCCAGCGAATGAAGGACATTCTGCCAAATTTGCAACAACATGGATAGACCTTCAGGGCATGATGTTAACTGAAATAAGTCACATAGAGAAAGACAAATACTGTATGATATCACTTATATGTGTAATTTTAAAAAGGCAAACTCATAGAACAGAGACTAGAATGGAGATTTACCAGGGGCTGGGGGGTGAGAGAAAAGGGGAGATGTTGGTCAGAGAGTACAAACTTCCATTTACAAGATGAATAAGTTCTGGAGATCTAACGTATAACATAGTGATTATACTTAATAATACTGTATTATACACTTGAAAGTTGCTAAGAGAGTAGACCTTAGATGTTTTCACCACAAAAAAGAAATGGTAATTATGGGACGTGATGCAGGTGTTAGCTAATGCTATGGTGGTAAGCATTTTGCAACATATGTATATCAAATCAACACTTTGTACACCTCAAACTTACAAAATGTTTTGTCAATTTTATCTCAATAAAGCCAGAGAAAATTTTTTAAAAATAGTGTTTATAAATAATGCGTATAAAGCATATAAATAATGTATATAAAGCTGGCTGTAAGACTTAGCACAGTGCCTGGTACACAGTAAATTCTTAACACATTCTGACTATTATACTTCATCTATGTTCCCACAGCAACTAACAAGAATTTCTAGTAAAACACCACCATTGCTGCAATCATTTATATCTCTTTCACTAAACTTCTAACACCTGGAGGGAAGGGGCTTTGCTATTTTCACTTTTACATTACCAGCACCTACTAGTATCTAGTACACATGACAGATGCCTAAGTGTATGTGGAATAAGTACCTGATACAGTGAGCATAAACCTGCCTGTTTCTGTAACACAATCTGTTGATGTGACTGAGAATTTTGACAACTCAATGTCTAAAGTATTTCTAAGACTTTCTCTTTAAACAAAAGTAGAACACAAAAATTTTTGGCCAAATCACACTGACTTGTGGTTCTAAAAACATGATCATTGAATCAACAGAAGGCACCAAAAGTTTCTAGGCAAGGGAATAATATCGCGGCATCTATGTTTTAGTTACCTAATAGCAGCCTGAGAGATGTGCTAGAAATGAAGCCAGAGTGATGCGCTAAGAAGCGACTCTCAGAGTCCAAGGGAGAGACAATGGGGACCCAGTACAGAGGACAAACAGCAAGTACAAAGAGAAAGGGACCAACAGGGGAGAAGCTTAAGTGGAAGACTTGGTAACACATTATACAGGAGTGTTAAAGGAGGTAAAGGAATCAAGGATAGATTCAAGGTTTCTAGCTTGACCCATGAAATAAATGGGGATATCATTGGAAATGGGGAACAAAAGAAAAAGAGGCATTAGAAGGGCAATGCAGGAGTGCGTGCATATGGATCCTGAATTGACAATGACGTGCAGCTGGCTACGCAGATATGCAGCAGGCAGCTGGAGCTTAGGAGAAGGTCTGAGGTTGGAGAAAAAGCTTTGGAAATAATCAGCATGTAAATAATAGCTGATGCCAGAAAAATAGATTGTTATTCAGGGTAAATGTACAGAATATAAATGTATGACAACAGTAACGCTAATGAACTCTGGGAGCATTTGTATTTCTACAGCAGAAGGGTAAAAGGCTCTGAGAGGAAGAGAAGATTTTTTAAAAAAATAGGGTCATGAAAGCCAAGGAAGAACATATTTTCAAGAAACAAAGTATAATATCAAGAGTTTAAGGAGAGTAAGAAGTAGAAGGAATACTAAAAGGAGGAAACTGATTCTGGCAAACAGGGCTGATGACCTCATGAAAGTTTTAGAAGCACAGATGGCATTAGATTGAAAGGTAATGGAGTACTGGCACATGAACAGATGAATGGATCAATGAGGTGGAACAAAATTGATTGGAAAGTGAGGAAAGCTGTAAATTCAGACTATTTCTTTAAGGAGTATAGTAGTAGGGAAAATAGAAAGGCAGGACAACAGTTCAAAAAGTCAAGGCTGAGGAAAAGGAATTTCAGAAGAGACTGAAATACTGGAAGACAGAGGGAAAAGAACCACAGGAGGAGGGACTGAAACTCTAAGAGAGGTTAGATAACTGATTAAAAAACAAAACACAGGTCCTAGAAAAGGAAGGAAGAGAATTAAAGGACATAAGTAAAGGTTTTAGCCTTGGAGTTAAGTAGTGGAATCTCTGCCTTCAAACAGAAGAGAGGCTGGTAAGAGTAGTACAGACAGAGGGATACTGAAGGGATCTGAGGGCCTTTACTTTCTCCATAAAAGGGAGACGAGGCTAGGTATCTAACACAATTATGGAGAAAAGGCTAGGTATCTAACACAATTATGGAGAAAAGGCTAGGTATCTAACACAAGGTGGAAAGTGGGTGACACGATAAGTGATTAGGTAAAGAATTACCAAACCACACCAAGAGCCCAGATGAGGATGGAACTCTTACACTTGTAATAAGCAGATCAAAGACTACCCAAGTCCTCCCAAGAATGTGCAGAAGGCGGGACACACAGCATGTGTCCCACTTTTCAAACTGGCAAAACGAGTTGCAGAGGAAAACTAAGAGGAAGAAGGAAATAATGTGAGGTGCTGGTGAGAGATTAGTTGAAATAACTGCTAAAGAAGAGAAGCGAATAAAAGGAAAGAAACAAGTCAGGAGCTGGCTGAAAGTGGAGGAACTCAGAAGAGTCAAAGATTAAAGGCTGCAGAGCAAGTTTTGTGAGAATGAGAGAGGAATGAGGGGATTTTGGTCAGAGAATAGTATTTCAGAGGGTCTTTTCTAGAACAATTCCCAATTCTGCCTTGATCCTCTCCAAAACAAACTGGAAATGGAAAACCTAGGTAAGCAGGGGGCTTATCTATGAGATTCCTAAACAAACCTTTTCTTTAAAAATTGAAAAACAACTTCATTGAGATAAAATTCACATATACTACATTTCTTAACCATTCCATCATTTTTCAATATTTCTATCATAATTAAAGATATATTGTGGAAAACACTTTGTGCTCCTCACTGTTCACGTTTTATTTCTTTAGAAACGATTCCTACATGTGAAATTACTTAACTAAAATATATGAACATAATGCTCTTGAATTATATTATCAAGAGGAAGACACTATTTTAGCCAGAGACTTTTCCCTCTATAAACTTTTAAATAAAAACGAGATACTAGACACATTATTTTGTAATGTTTCTTTTTAATAGTATTTTTTAAAATTTCTATGTCAATACATTTATATCTACCTTATCTTTTTAAATGACTGCCTAGTCATCCATTTTATGACATTATCACTTATTTAACCAACCCCTTTCTAATAAACATTTAGATTATTTCTTTTTTGTTATATAAATAATGCCACACTGAACATTTTTGTAATAATGTTTGCACAATAGCCTGATTATTTCCTTGTGAAAAAATTTATATAACTGAAATTGATTGCTGGGTTTAGAGTATACTTTTTTTTATGGCTTTCGATACATATTCCAGGTTGTCCTCCAGAAAAGTTGCTCCAATTAATACTCCCACCTGTAGTATAAATCAGATGGTTCAACTCAAGAATATCACTTTTCTTTATAATCTTTACCAATCTTACAGAGGAAAATTGACAACTTATTTTTTAATTTTCATTATAAAAATTGTAAGAATCAATATTTTTCATGTGTGCATAGGCCATTTACATATATGTGTCTGTGTGGAATTTCTCTTCATAGCCTTTGTGCATTTTTTTTTAAACTTAAGAGGTTCATGTTTTTGTGTATTTGTAAAATCTAGCCGTATATTAAAGAAATTTAATCATTTTGGGTGAACAGATATTAGAACTATTTTTCCCTGAGTTTGTCTTTTCATTTTTTGTTTATTGATGTATTAAGGCTTTCAACGTATTCAAATCTATCAATCTTTTCCTCTGGCAGGAGAAACAGAGAGGAAAACAGGATTTCTTAAGAAGAAAAATCTGTCCTTCATTTTCCAAAGCTGTTTTCTATGCTGTCCCTACTTAAACTGAAAACATGGTGTGAATCAAAACAACTGTTTCTGAAAGAAAGGAGATTAACTCAGACTATACAAACATGTAAGGGACTGTAAAATGCCTTTTATTTTAATATTATCTTGGTATCACTTACTTTCTTAAGAATGCCTTTAATAAGAACATAAGAGAACTTTCATATGAGAAGAATTTTATTAAAGAATGAAAATGAAAAATCTAACATACATGCATGCTTGCAAATTTGGAACACGTCAAATTAATAAGAGGAACACATGAACAAGTTCTGGAAAATCTTAAGATTTCCAGAGAACCAGGCCCTGCTGCATCATCACAGATGAGCGGCATCCTGTAAAGGAAGTGTGGACTACCAAACAAACTCAATCTAAGGAAGACAATACTTACTATTCCAGAACTAAGATCATTTCTGATGGAGTTTCATAGACTTCATGTAAATTAATGACCCACGGACTGTCCTGTGCTAGTTCAAGTACAGCAATCTCATGAATTATTTCCATCCGACAATCTTGGCCTTTTCTTCTTTTTCTCATGAACTTTGCTGCAAATTCTTTGCCAGAATCTTTCTCTATACATTTCCTCACCACTGCAAATTTTCCCCTAGAATTAAACAAAAACATTCACTGTTAAAGCTGACAACTTTCCAGAGATGGTAAATTTTAATAAAATTGCCAAGTATTCATCAGTGGATATTCAAATTTAGGTCATATTCAATCACAAAAGTAGCAATATCACTTAGGAATTTAATAGAATACACTATAATCAAATAAAATATAATTTGTAAATCTGCAAAATTCATTCTTCTAAATAGAGAATAATCAAATATGAAAGTCACTATGTTTTGCAGTTTACACAAAAATAACTTAATTTTTTGCACATTTATACATAAAAATGATTTAAATCTTAAAAAAAGCCATTTCACTTTTTAAGAGAAACTGCTTATCAGAATTCCTAAAATGATGAATTTCATTGTCACTAGTTGACTCTAAAGGAATAGTCACCTTCCAAAATTATAAAAGTTAGGGATCTCATATCAAATCAACTACAGCCATCAGCTAGAAATGTCTAGTATTCCTAGAAAGATAGATAGATACAACAAGCATCATTTTGATACACTACACTACCATTTTTTATTAGACAATAAGCAAGTCACACAGGGGAATCAGTACAGCATACTGATGAAGGGTATGAGGCTCTGGAATCAGACAGATAAGGGCTTGAATCCCACAAATGGCTCTGCCACTTACTTGACACATAACAGTGGACAATTTATTTACTTTTTTTTTTTTTTTTTGCTGAGGAAGATTGGCTCTGAGCTAACATCTGTTGCCAATCTCCTCTTTTTGCTGAGGAAGATTAGTATGTGCCCATCTTCCTCTATTTTATATGTGGGACGCTGCCACACATGGCTTGATGAGCAGTGCATAGGTCCGCACCCAGGATTCGAACCTGCGAACCCTGGGCTGCTGAAGCAGAGCACGCGAACTTAACCACTACGCCACCCAGCTGGCCCCAATTTATTTAATTTTTAAGTCTCATTTTCCTTATCTGCAAAAGAGGACATAAACGGAATCTACTTCACACAGTTGTGAGAATTAAAGTATACGATACATGTCAATGGCTTAGCATACTACTTGCTACATAGTAAGTGCTCAATAAAATACTATTAATCAGACAAATCATTAAGTTGTGATAGTCATCACCCATAAATACCCAATCCTTCAGTTGGAAGGCAACTTAGAAATCACATAGTTTTTTTACCGAATGCCAATGCCAATGCCTTCTTTCAAACTGTGTGGCAGTCTCTTCCACTCCTGGGCACATGTTATTTTAATACGGTTTTCATCAGAGGCCTAAACCTGACTTCAAGTGAAGGGTTGTGGTCTGGGTCTTTTGCTGAGCAATACAGAAAGATCTGTTCTCTCTTCCACATGACAGTCGGTTAGGTATTGACACAGCTAACATGACCTGTTAACTGCCACTCCCTTTTCCAATTTTTAATCATTCCTCATCCCCATAAGGTTTTGAGACCTCCTCACTTTATGGCTCATCAGAACCGTTGATAAAATGTGCCAACCAAATCTGAAGCAACTACTCCACGTATAATCTGATCAAAGTGTTCCATGATTACTGTTTTGTTGATCTTGGCACAATAAAACCTAATATCACCTTTTAAAACACCTTGACAGGTTTTTCATATTTCCTATTGGGTTGACAAATAAACTACCTAGATCTTTTTCCACTTGAAATTTTTCAAGCAAATGTCCTCACACTATATTTTAAAAAACTAAATGTAAGGCTTTAATTTGCTCTATTAAATTCTAATTTCTAGGTTTTGGCCTAGGTTTAGCATTCTAGACTACTGATGTAATTCTGAATACTAATTCTTCCTTCCTCGCTACTGTTAACCACAAATATGATTTTCATGCTCTCTATATTTTTGTTACCATCAGTAACAAAAATGTTAAATGACAAATCCTTAGGCATCGTCCTATAGCTGCTCAATTAGGTAATACTCTACACCTAACAGCACCCTTATTCAGATCAAAGTTCTTCTTTGTTCACAGAAATGTGAAAGACTTCTACAGATACTGGAGAGATTAAACCATAAACATATTCATCACGGACCCATTCCTCCTTTTATTTTACCTCACAAAATCACTAGGCTAACATGTCTATCAAGTTTTAAAGGGTTCCTAATGAACTTTGGATTCTTTTAATACAGAGAAAAAAAATCATTAATAATTGAACTGTTTTATACCTGTATGTCAGACGTTTCAAAAGAAGGGAAAAAAGAGAAAGTTTAATTCGTAAAAAATTGGCCAACATATAATTGACAGCAAGCAAGTTCCTGGTAAATTAGAAAGGACTTAGGTGAACTGCCTTCAAAGTACTCCCACATCAAACAAACACAAATGTTTGTCACCACACCTAAAATTCAAGGCAACACAGTACTGTGCAGAAAGTATACTACTACTTATTATCTGACCTGAATGTATATTTTTGAAGACCAGACAGGAAGACAAGTGACTCAACAGTGCAATGGATTCACACATATGGCTAACCTACAAACTCCGGGAACCCTTGTTACAGAAGAGCCACTGTTAAATTCAGGGACCAGAGGCAAACACAGGGAAGAAACCTACACTAATCCCATGTCTGCAGCCCTGCATCCATTTCTCTGGGTCACAGAGCAGTTCCCACTGCTTTCCTCCTAGACCAATGACTACTCTTGACATCACCTTTGTTTCTGTGGAAGCATTCCTCACAGCTTTAGGTTTACTCTTTTCTTTCCACTGTATCACACACTATACTAGGAGTCGGCAAACTTTTCTGTAAAAGGCCACATAGCAATATTTTTCCTCTGCTGGCCAGATGGTCTCTGTTGCTACTAAAGCCTGCTGCTGCAGAGTGAAAGGAGCTGTGGATAATAGGTGAATGAATGAGTGTGGCTGGGTTTCAAAAAAAACTTTACAGATACTGAAATTTGAATTTCAATATAACTTCCATGTCATTAAATATTACTCTTTTGATTTTTTCAACCACTTAAAAATGTAAACATCACTCTATACAGCTTGCGAGCCTTATAAAAATAGGTGGCCAGCAGTAGTTTGCCAATCCCCGCATGATCTCACGCTGAAGAAAACTCTTCCATCGTTCTGATACTGCACATCACTGAAACTGACAGCAAGACCGCAGGTCACAATGGTTTGAGGAGACATAGGTGCCTTCATCTCTAGATGACTGGTGCAAGGGGAGGGCAATCTTAACACTACTTAAGGAGGAGTCAGAGGTAGATAAAAAGAGATTTCTGGGCCTGTTTTTTCTGTAGAACCACACAGTACACAGAAATGTGAGATTCAGCATTCAAGGAGTGGAGTTTTAGTTAACACACCAGGAATTACACTGTCACAGTGTCCTTAAATTCCACACCCCAAAAAAGCTCTAAAATGCATGCTTTACCACAGCTTCACGGTAAAAACTGTTATTGTATCTCATCCCTTAACTTTAGGTTATTGAGGCCTCTACAAAGCATAAAATAAATAACATTTCTGACACCAAAGGCCAGTTATATACAGAGACTTGAGGCTGATGAGGTTCAAAGGGCATAAGATATCTGTTGCACATCTACTTTCTTTGTTGACTTAGCCAAAATTCTTCCTGGACTACACAGTCGTTACATTTTTGGAGATCTTCATTTACTTCACAAACATCTATAGTTCACTATCACACACTAAACTGAGAACTAAGGTTTTCATTAAACAATTTTTGGGGGGAATTCAGAAATGAACACATTTCATAACTGCTCGATGGTAACATATTCCAGGACAGTGGAAAAGGAAAGATAAATAATTATAACAAGAGGCAGTGACATCTGAGTCAGATCCACCATTCCTAAGACTTCCTAAGAATAAGGACTAGGTTTTACTCATTTCTGCATTACCAGTGCCTAACTGGTAATGCTTAAAAAGGTATGGTGAGCATCTTTAGGTGGGAATGACATAAGGAGTTTGAGCTTTATCAGGGCAAAAATGGGCACCTACCAGAATTTTTAAAATAAGATAATTGTTTTAAAAAGATAATTCCGATAGTGTTATGGAAAGAGTATTGTCAAATGTTAACTAGAAACCAGGGAAGCCAATAAAATAATTCAAGGTAGTGGGTCTGAACTAACGCAGCAGCAGTGGAGGCTGGGAAGAGAGAACGCATTTAAGACATTCAGGGTGGAGAGCATTAGCATTCCCTGACAGACTGAGTTGCAGGCGGAGACGAGGGAAGTGGAGGATGACTTGTAGATTTTGAACTTGGGTACTGGGTAAATGTGGTTAACATCAAATGAGAGATGACTATAAGAATGGTAAAAGGTTTAGGGGGAGATAATGTGTTAGGTTTGGATGGGAGACGTCTGAGGTGCCTTTCTCCGTAAAGAGAATTTTACTTACTGGATAGATTCCAAATAAAAGTCTCAGCATTGGGTTATAGTCAAAGGAGAACAGAGAGTAGAATATATAAGGTTCAGGCAAAGATCAAAAACTGTAGATGCTAATTTGAGTGGTATACAGAGGAAGCAAAATAAAAGTGATCTCCGAGGTTCTAGGTTTGATTCTAGATTACAATTATGTGCTTTGTTTACTCCTATATTACATTACTTAAATTGGTCTGATAAATTACAATTTGTTGCACTGTGAATGTCTCCCTAGTTAGACTATGAGTTCCAGTGACCTCACTTATCATCCAATTTTGTGTCTCCATAGCACCCTGCACATGGCAGGTGCTCAAATATGATATCAGATAGCATCCTGAATATATATACTGTTCCTGTTATGCTGTTAAATGAAAGTTCTATGGCTACTTAACCTCATAAAGTTTAATATTTTAGCCACACTGGACTACTGCCATCCTCTCTTTCACTGAATTTTTCTGCCACTTGCTTATTTGTTTTATCGCCAATGGCTAGAGTATCTTTCATCACTACAACTGAAATTCCATCCATTCTGTAAGACTCAGCTCAGATGTTATTTTCCCCATAAGATTTTCCCATGTGGCATGTCTTCTTGCCTATAAAGGGAGTAGTGACTGATTTGTTACATTTGGCAATAACTTCCACAGCCTAGCAAAGTGCCTTATGTGCTTA